AGTGCTTTATTTTTTGGAAGATTATTAAATATTGCTTCAGTTTCTTCAATAGATATAGTCCTATTCAGATTATCTGTTTCTCCTTGTGTAAGTTTGAGTAGATTGTGTCTTTCAAGGAATCATTCCATTTCATCTAAGTTATTAAATTTGCGGGCATAGAGCTGTTCATAATATTCTCTTATTGTCTCTTACTGTCCAGAGGATCAGTAGTGGAGGGGAGCAGAGTTTGCCACCTCAAAATGTGCCTCTTTGGGATATTGATTATTTTATTTAGGCTGGTTAATTTTAAGAAACAGAAGACAAGGGAGGACATCTGAAAACCAGTAGAAATTACTCTTTGTGAAAGGACTTTTACATTTGTAAGGGTATTTCCCTCAGTACCTGGAAGAGGAGGCTGTCTCTAGAAATTGTTGTCAGTGGAGAAGATTTGGACTTAAATCTGCATAATAGTACTATGCTTGTTTACTGTGCTTTTCGTGGTAACTTCCCATAACTGACTCCCCATACCCACCATCTTTTTTGTCTTTAGATGAAGATAAAGGTGAAGGCTTTTGTCATCTTGGCCAGTTATTCAGTGTTCCTGCATCTCTTCCATGTATACAGGAAGTATCTGTGTTTTTAAACTTTAATTTGTTTTCTCCTGCTAATATGTCTCATGTCAATTTAATTATTAGACCAGCCAGAAGAACCTAAAAGTGTTGGTGGAGAAATGGCACCAGATGTTAGACCAGTGGAGTCAGACCGGACCTTGGTTAAGCAACCTCAGTACTTGGTTTTGGCTAAGAAAGAATTCTGAGCCAAGACTGAAACTATAAGAGAAAGTTTATTAGAAAGTTACAGAGATAGAGGAAGTGAGCTGTAGAAGAAATGGGCTCAGGAAACAAGTTACAGAGGCTAAAGAAGGGCCCTTGGAGCTTAGGAGAGAGAAAGATAACACCTCTGGGGGGTTAAGGCTAGGGCAGGCCTCCAGGGAGGGAGAGCAGCGCTGAGTCCTGTCTTGACGGTATTTATATGGAGGTCTCAGGGGAGGATCCCAATATCATCAGCTTTCCAGGTGTGTCCTTTCAGGGTTGTGGTCTCTACGGATTGGTAGGAGCCAGGGGGTCATCAGTCAATGCAGCTGGTCCTCATGTCAACCATGGTGTCACTTGTGAGGTTTTGTTGTTTTTCTGGGCCTGGAGCTGAAACACAACTGAGGCCTAGATGTTATCCTTAGGGGTTAATGCTTAAGGGAGTGGTTGTGCAAGGGCCCGCCTGGGAGCTGCAGGAGGCCTCTTTTCCACCCCTTGTTCCTTCTCCAAGGGGGTCTACTGCATGACTATGGCCGTGCAGGGGAGGAGAGGTAAGGGAGTGTCCAGACCCCGTGACCAGCCATGTGAAAGGCCAAGGGATCTAAACCACATGACCATCAATATGCTAGGGGAGGAAAGGTCACCCTGGGGGCGAGGTCCTTGTTTTCTGAGTTTTACCTGTTGCTAGGCACCCGGGGCTTTCCATCCTGGTGACCTTCTGTACCTGGCCTGTCGTTTCCAGTCTGCTCAAGTCTGTCTAAGTGTTGAGGGCAGAGGAAGTTTTTCCTCCGTGACAGTAGTGATGATCACTTTTTCACTTCTGATATTAGTAATTTGTGTCTTCTGTTTCCTGGTTAGCCTGGTTAGAGGAATATCAATATTATTGTTCTTTTCAAAGAACCAGCTTTAGTTTTATGGTTTCTCTATTGTTTTCCTGTTTTCAATTTCATGGTTTTCTGCTCTAATTTTTATTGTTTCTTTTATTCTGCTTTATTTTAGGCTTATATTGGTCTCTTTCTCTAGTTCTTCTTTTATAATATTTGCATTTAATGCTATAAATTTCCCCTTAAGCACTGTTTTACTACAAATTTTATAAGTTATATTTTCATTTTCATGTAAAGTACATGTAGTTCAAAATATTTTTTAACTTCATGAAACTTCATTTTTGACAAATGCATTTTTTTAGAACTATGTTTGTTTAATCTGTAAGTATTTTGGGATTTTCCAGCTGTCTGTTATTGATTTATAATTTAATAGTATTATTTTAAACAGTCTATAACATCCTGTTACATAGATCTATCATTATTTATGTAAAATGTTTTTTAGACATTTTTGCTTTTATAAATATTACTACTGTTATCAAACAGAAAGAGTTCGTCTGTCTGGTGCTAGCAGATCCAAACATTAAACACGGAGAATTGCAGTGGAGAACTATTGGCCATTTTATTATGAATGGTGCCACTCCAGAGAATGGGAAGCTAATGCTCAGAAGCCCAAACTCCCCGGTGGTATGTAGGTTACAGATTGCATAGGGCCAGATTACAAGGCACTGTGGGTAGGGGCTCGGTGTCGTGTTGGGAGTTGATCGGTCAGAGGTGAAGTAAGGGTAATAATTTTTTCTGGACCGAACTGGTTTCATTGATTGGTAGCCAGGAGGTCATTCCACCTTAGGGCTCAGGAGCTGAACATAACTTAGATCAAGATATTATCTTTAGCTTAACAGAAACTGATACCTCGTGACCCTCAGTGAAGGGCTGACCATTGTTTCTGGCTTCCTCAGGGGGTTAGTGACTAGTAAGGGAAAGGGCTAAGGCTTACAGGGCAGGCTGTGAAGAAACTGAATAGAAATTATACATTCAATCAGGACCCTCGGCTTCACTATAAAGAATATCCTCTACATAAGACTTTGCAACTGCAATGAAATATGTGTTATACTAAGGGACGTTGAGAATGCTGTGATAGTTCGTAGCCAGAACATCTCATCTGGCCTAGAGAGCCCAAGAAAGCCTTCCTCAGAGAGCGCTGTTTAGGCTGCGAGTGAAGCAGCTGCTATGGGAGAGCTAAGTGGAGAACATGAGGCGCAGGAAGGCCTGGAAGAGGGAGACAAGGGCAAGGCTGGAGTTGCAGAGGGGAACACGGTGGCAGATGACTTGTTTCAGGACGTGAGAAAAACTCATTCTGCCTGCAACAAAATGTTTTTGGATACAGGGAGTGGCAAGAAAATGAGGCTAGAAAGGTAAGCTAAAATAAGGCTAGCTAATATTTAAGAGTTTGAACTTTGTCTTAAAAGTAATTGGGAACAACTGAGGATTTTAAGCAGAGGGAGTAATGTGATTAGACTGCGATTTAGAAAGAGCACTCTGCTTGCTGTGTGTAGGATGGATTGAAAGAGAGTCTGGGCTATTAGGGAGACAGGGAGTCCTGTCAACCTACTGAATTCTTGATTTTATTCACTGACAGAACTGGTTTGTATCTTTCATTGTTCAAGCTCTACATATAATATAAAATCAATTTCTAGCGTACTCACGAGTTGCCTTTTAAATTTTGACTTCCTACTTTTCAACCCCAGTTTCTAACTCCTAAATTTTACTGCAGATCACTTAAGGTATTTAGTTCTGGCAGATTAAAACTTCCCTTTCAGCTCCAAGTCTTGTCTCTTAGTCTGGTCCCTTGATCAGAAATTCAGAACGGAACCAAAAAAGAAATAGTAATAGCGAGGAACTGCTCGAGTATATAATGAATTAGATGAAATAGGGGATGTCTTGGTGCAGGGGGCCTGTGAATGGTAGAAGGTAAACTACACCAGTCCTTGGAAAGCCTGCACTTACCTCCAGAAACATGAGAACTAGAGGCTGAGAGATCTGAGCCCTGTGTCTCAAATATAAATCTTTCCCAACTATCTGAAAAATCTTTCCCAGATTTCTGAAAAAACTAAGCTTAGAGAAAGCAAACTTATTTGTTCAGTGTCAGTATTTTAGTGGCCTAGAATGCGGATGAGCATTTTCCCCCGGGGCTATTTTACTATTATCATAATCATCTTCATCTACATAAATCTCCTAATTACGAAGAACCTTGTCCAAACTCCTCAGAAGCTCTTTCTACAAACTGGGTTCTGACAAGACTCCCTCGGAAGGAATTATGTATGTATTGGAATAGCGTGAACATCCTCATGTTAAAAAAAAAATTCACCTGAGTAAGTTGCAGGACCTACTGGGCTTTCTTCAGCACTTCGTGAGTTGGGCGGCATCCCATCCCGCAAAGAGAAAGCAGCCCCAGGGAGCTGTACCAAATGCAAGGCTTTTATAGGCAGAAGGGGTTTGTGGGGAAAGGAAGTTTCTAGCGAAGAGTGGAGTGTTTCAAGCAGGGAGTCTGTCAAGCAGGTTACCTCTCTAGTGCTCACCAGGTAGTTCCTGGTTGACTAGTTAAAGGGAGAGGCTGAAACTACACTTAAGTCTTGATTTGCTGACGTGACGCTTAGCACAGGTGACTCCATTTTGGACCTGGTATTTCTTTTTTAACACTCATCAAACAGGCTCATTCATGATTCAGCTATAGCAGTGTTAACATGTCTGTTAGTATCAATGGTGTTTGTAACTAACAACCCCATATTGAACCAAGAAAATCAAGGGACTCAACTTGTAAAGCAGTGAGGAAGAGTAGGAGGGATACTAGATTCAGGATCAGATCCCTATCTCCATCTGTTCTAGCTGTGTGACCTCGAACAAGTTAAGTAAAAGTCTCTGCCACAGCTTCCCCTGTGAAATAAGAAAAGTTATTTCTTCTTGCCCTGGCTGGTGTGGTTCAGTTGGTTGAGCGTCGCCCATGCACCGTGAGGTCCCCGGTTCAGTCCCCAGTCCGGGCACATGCCTGGGTTTCGGGCTCAATCCCCAGTAGGGGGCACGTGGGAGGCAGCCTATTGATGTCTCTCTCCCCCTTTCTCCCTAAAATCAATTTAAAAACATATTAAAAAAATAAGAGACTGAAATTTAAAAGAAAATTATTTCTTCTTCATAGGGTTGTTCTGAGGCCAGAGAGAGAGAGAGAGAAGAAAAGTTTCTGTCACAGAGCAGGTTCCCTATGTTGGTCCCTTTATCTTATGGACCCATAACCCACCTCACTGAACCCAAAAAACTTCCCTGTGATGATATAACAATTTTATCTCACAATTGCAATTCACAGTGTGATTTAATGTACATTAATTGCCCTCAGGAAGCTCCTAGATCAGAATCTAAATGAGCTCCAACAGAAAGTGAAAATCTTACAGGATAAAGAGAATTTACTGGAAATGACCAGTTCTCAGCAACAACACAGAATTCAGCAACAAGAGGCCCAACTTAAACAACTGGAAGATGAAAAAAGAAAATCTGATGAGGTAAGAAAGTAAATAGACATGCTTCTCAGTTTTCCAGTTCCCATAGAGCAGAGATTTCCAACTGGTGTGCTGCGGCAGGCACACTGGTGTGCTGCAAGGATTTTAAAACATTGTGATAGCTCACTGTTTAGTCAGGGCCACTGACTTCTTTTCTGTTAGATCTTCAAATAAAAAATTGGCAACTGCCAACACAATAGCCATCCAGTGTAGTGTAAAGGAATTAAAATTACACCTATTTTTTTGTCAGATTGTTATAGGCAGCGGGAACGGCACCAGGTGTCTGAATAGGAATCAGACCGGACCTGGGTTCAGCAACCTTGGTACTTGAGTTCTGGCTAAGAAAGAATTCAGAGCCAAGACTCCAACTCACTGGAGAAGGTTTATTGGGAAAGCAAAGGGAAAGTACACTTGAAGAAAAATTTCAAGCAGCTGGCTCAAACAGCATCCCTGGGGAGTGGGCTAGGGCTCCTTTTAACCCCTCGGAGGGGAGTTAACTGCTTTCTTCTTTAAACTGACCTATCAGAGCCTGTCTTCTGTCCTTGTATGGCTATTAGATGGGGCTTTCCTCCAGCCCCCTTGTTCTCCTGGGGGGGGGGTCTACCACATGACTAACCACGTTCCAGGGGAGAAAGGATCAGGAGAATGTGACCTGCAGGACCAGAGGCATTCCAGGGTGGGGACAGGGTCTTAGGGACCAGGTCCTGAATAACAACACTTATCTCCAATGCCTGCCATTCTAGGGTGGAGAGAGGGCTTAGGGGTGAAGTCCTGAATGTTTCCAGTATCTGCTTTACCATTTCCTTTTTATTGCTAGGTCCCCCCTGGTGACCTTCTGCACCTGGCCCATCATCCTTGCTCTGCTCATGTCTATCTAACTGCCTATTACAAATACATTCTTACATATAGTCCTCAGATTTCTGCCAATTTAAGTTGGCAAAATCTTTTCATCTTTTCAGTATGGTAGTCCTCCCAGGCCAGTCCCTGTTCTCAACCCCTATTCCCCAGGATGTGCTCGGATCTGACTGTAGTTATAGGATTGAAGGCAATGGGAAGTACTAGTGTAGAGGTGGGACTTGAGAACAGTAGGAATCCTCGAGGATAACTGCCTCATGGGAACTCAATACAGAGCCCAATGCAAGAGTGGTTAATCTCTTGAGAGCACAGAAAGGACCGTTTTTGCAGATAAGAGAGGCTCAGTAGAATTTGTAAGTCCAGGATGCACAGGCTTTGGAATCCTGCCAGATGTACTCATTCCTAATTCTCAGATTCCTATGCAAACAAAGCATTTTTCACATAAGAGACCTGGTAAGGCTATGAAGTCAGCTTGTGCTGTAATTCTGCAGCCTACTTGATGAAATTTGGGATTTGGTTTTTGGATACATTGAGCTGCTGCCTACAAGAGAGAAGAGGTTCTTTCAGAGCGCTCGTGGAAACTGAGTCCCTGACTGTGCCTTGTTCCAATAATTAAATCCCCAAATTGGACATTATCTCCTTGAAAGCGCGCTGACATGGTCAGATGTCGCTAGCCCACCCAAACTCCTTGTACTTCTCGATTCTGCTATAACATTTTTTTGTACCAGCCGTGTGGTCTTTCAAAGTATTTCATGACAGGCAACTGTAAGTTATAATTTAATCAACCCCTGTGTCATGGATATCTAGTACTGGTGACAAAATCATACTGCCTTTAAGTCTAACCTGGTCAGATAACCAGTCTTTGAGGATCTGTTCACTGGAGCCATTTCTAGAACCAGATACTTTATTAGTCAGGGTTAGGTCAGGAAAACAGCTTTCACTTTCTGTACTTTGAACTGGAAGACTTTTTATATAGGTAATTAGGTTCTTGCAAACTATTGGAAAGGCTGGTGGAGCAAAAGTCAAGGAGAAGAGCTGGCAGCTTTCAGGAAATCTAGAGAAGCAGGAACCATAGGAAGTTACTGTGGTGTCAGAGACTGGACCACTGTAAGCTTTCTCAGCAGAAAGGCTTTGTCAATTTATATTCCATCAACATCATACCTTTTATTCAGCACAGAATGTTCTCATTTAAACAAAAAATGTTTTTCAGTATCTCAAGAGCAACCAAGAATTGTCAGAGAAGGTGTCTGGGTTGCAGCAGGAGAAGGAAGCTCTACATAAAGAATATGGGAAATTTTTGAAGCAGCTTGATGTCCATGTGAGGTAAACCAAGTTCTCTTTGGAAGGGAAATTCTTGCTTCTCCCCAGTTACACCCTTCTCACTTGCCTTCAGGCTCCCCCCGCCCCCCCACTTTCCTCAGCCTGGACCGCCTAGCCCATTTCAACTCTTCATTTCTACTCATACTCAGACTAGCAGTCACCTTCTCGAAGAAGCCTCTCTTGCCCCCAGCAGCCTGGGCTGAGAGACGCGTTCATTGTTTGTGCCCCTTTGCACGTGCCTCTCGGTACTTATTTAAGAACTTGCCATGTTGTTTTGAAATAGTGTGATTTACTGCCCGTCTTCCTCGCTGTACTGTAGGCTTTTCAGGGGCATCCGTCGCAGCCGCAGTCACCTTCTTATCCACGGTCCCTGGCACATATGGAAGGTGTGCAGTGAACATTTGTTCCTGCTCTTTGCTCCATTTCCTGAGCGTCATTCCATCCGATTCCTCTGCTCTCCTCCTTTCTGGAATGTAGCCCAGTAGTTCAGAGTGTGGCCCCTGGCGCCACACTAGAAACTGGCAGTGTGACCCCGAGTGAGTTTTGTAACCTCTCGGTGTCTGAGGTCCCTCATCTTTAAAATGGACAAAATAGCAGTACTTATGAAGTTGTTGTGAGGATTAAATTAATAAATATATGTAAAGTGCTTACTCAGAACAGTGTCTAGTGCACAGATATTGTTATATTAATTCACGTTTCATTTTTCCTCCATGACCCACCTCTCTGCTCCCAGCTCTGTCTTCTTATTTTATTCCTTTATAGATCGAAATTTCTTATTCTTTTATGTTCTTACCTACTGTGTTGGTGATGTTAATGATACAGTAATGACAAAACCACTGTTTACTGCTGTCTAGCAGAGAGTATTTTTCAGTCATTAGTATTCATTATATTGCTTTGATCATCTCATCACTGAGAAATGTAGAAATCATGGTCAAGGGAGTATGTGTGGTTCAGTTCATGCTGCTTGCAAACCTTAGACGAGAACTCAGTCCTCTGAAAGCCTGTGCGGTGCTCTTTCTACATAAGAGAGAGATGAGAGAGTGAAGTGCTAGATCTAGAGGATATAAAATGCCACAGCGTGCCTGGCTGGCGTGGCTCAGCGGTTGAGCATCGACCTACGATCCAGGAAATAGAAATTCAATTCCCGGTCAAGGCACACGCCTAGTTGAGGGGCTCGATCCCCAGTGGGGGTATACAGGAGGCAGCCCATCAATGACTCTCTCATCATTGGTGTTTCTGTCTCTCCCTCTCTCTCCCTCTCCCTTTTTCTCTCTGAAATCCATAAAGGCATATTGAAAGAAAAAAAAAAGTAAAAGATCTTGATAATTTTTAAAAATTTAAAAAAATAAAATGCCACAATGCTTGCCAAATGAATTGATACTGAATCTAATATATATTTATATATGTAAAATACTATATAATATATTAGGTCAATATCAGTCTCCTCTCTCAGGTCAAGAACCATAGATGTGCACTAAACACCTCACAACCAGGGATCCCAAAATGGAATCTCAGGTGAGATTTTAAAAAATATTCTGCTGGTCATGTAAGCATATCTCTGCTATGTAATCAGCCTCAAGAGCAGAGCCTTCCTGGGGTCTCACTGAGACTAGGTGCAAATCATCAATCTCATTGTTATCAATAGACAGTGCTGACAAGCTGGTGCAAACTGCCATGAAACTCCTTGGACCTGTGGTTACAAAGCAACACACTTGTAATCAGTATTTTCATTTCTTCACCAGTGGTCAGTGCCAAGCAAGAACTTTAGCAAAACAGCTCAGGGCATTTCTAGGCCTGCTGGAGTCAACCCTCACAACACAGCAACACAGTCCTAATTTAGTTAAAAATTACTCACTGGTCTATGATTGAAATTTTTATTCCAAATGAAAATAACATTTTGGTATGTATATTTTTTCATTTTAAAAATTATTTTTATAAATTCCCAGGAGTGGAATTACTGGTCAAAAAGCTGGTACTTGGGATCTTAAAATGTATTGACAAACATTCAGAAAGACCCTACCAAAATTTTCTGCCATCATTATATAAGAGGAGTAATTTCACCACACCCTCATTAGCACTGGGTACTGCTATTGATGAAATTTTCCCAATATCCTTTGCTTTAATTGAGGTATAGCTTATAATAAATGCACAGATTTTAAATGTACAGTTTAATGAGTTTTGACAAATGTATACATTGACATAACCACTACTTCAGTCAAGATACAGAACATTTCCATCACCCCTTAAAGTTCCCTCCTACTCTTTTACAGTCGATCTGTATGTATCTCCTGCTCCCTCCATCTCCTCCCAGACATTCACTCTTCTGATTTCTGCTGCTCCTGAAACTTCATCTAAGAGGAATCAATCTTTTGTGCCTGAACTTCTTTTGCTTTACATATGCTATGATCTTTAATGCTCACATAGCCATAAATTACTTGTAATTTTATTTTGAATTTCTTTGTTGGGCAGTGAGGCTGTTTTCCCATGTTATTTTTCTGTAGCCTTTAAGACAATGGATCCTAACCCTAGCTGCATATGCCTGGTCCCCAGCATAGATTAATGAAATCATAATCTTCAGATAAGGCTTGGAGATCAACATTCTGCTGAAAGTTTCCCCGTGTGATTCTGATGTACATTCAGGGTTGAAAAGTACAGCTTTAGGAATGAAAATGGAAGGAACTGTCAGAACTCTAGGTTCATTTCTGTTTTCATTCCCCTGATCCCAGCGCTGACCTTTACAGACAATGCTCATTTTTTCCATGTTTTTCAACTACTCTTTCAGAGGAACAAATTCCTTGCCTCTTTGAGGTAAAAATAATAGAAAGACCATCTGGTTTTACTTAAACATAAGCAAAAAGCTGTCCCTAAATTTCAGAACGTCAGTATTGAGCTGCCTCGTAGTGCTAGTAGTTAACAAAGCCACATGTTCTACAGGCAAGTTGGCCAACAGAACTTCCGGGCAAACCAATAGGTGTGCCAAACATTGAGCCAGCAACAGCAAGGGAAGGCTCTAAGCCCTCACTTGTACTGCACCAACATGCTCTCCAAACCATGCATAACACTACAGGAAGAAACCTGAACATCAAGCATTAGGAACTAGTCAGGTCAAGTATAAAACAGTCATAGAACATATTACAACTGTAAAAGAGGGTGGCTATGAAGACTACATAATAGCATGAGAAAATGATTTTCATTGACATAATCAATGAAAAGAGCATAAGGTAAAAATTTTAATGTAGACAGTGTTTAAACAAAAGATGCTTATAAAAAGACTGAAAGGAAATATAACAATATTTTAGTACTGATTACATTGGAGGTTGGAATTTCCCCCAAATTTTATATAATTTAGCATGTATCAAAAGCTCCTTTTTAAGGCTGAATAATATTCCATTGTATGTATACACCACATCTTATCTATTCATCAGTTGATGGAAATATGGGTTGTTTCCACGTTTTTGTCTCTTGTGAATAGTGCTACTGTGAACATTCATATACAAGTTTGTATGTGGACATATGTTTTCATTTCTCTTGGAATTTCTCTAGGAGTGGAATAGCTGGGTCATGTGGCTCTATGTTTAACCATTTGAGAAACTGCCATGCTTTTCCCAAAGAGGCTGTACCATTGGACATTCCTACTAGCAGTGTATGGGAGTTCTAATTTCTCCATATCCTTGTCAGCACTTTATCTTTCCTTTTTATTTTAGCCATCCTAGTGGTTGTGAAGTTATATCTCATTGTAGTTTTCATTTGCATTTCCTTAACAGCTAATAATGTTGAACATCTTTTCATGTGCTTATTGGTGGTAAGTAAGATTTATGTCAGAATCAGGCTAAGAGCCTTGAGCAGAGACCTATATAGAACTAGCATTTAGAAGTCCAGATTCAAGGCAAGGACTGAGTAGACCCAGTTATCTAGAAAATAGACAAGATTGAAGTAGGTTATATTACTATACAAGGGTATAGCTAAGAACTAAAAAATTTAAAATTAATGACTGAATCAGCGGAGCAGGGATCAGAAGTCAAGGAGTTTCCAAAATTAAACTTGTAAGCATAGCTTACATCCATCAGCTCAAGACCAAAATAAGCCAGAGACTTGAGTCCATAGTGATGACTAAAAGCTGATATTCTTTAGGAAGTTATCCTTGGTCCATTCCCTCACTTGGGGCAAGAAGTGCTACAGATGTGAGGCAGGACAAGCATCCCTATCTAGTGCGAGACCCTGAGAACGCAAGAAGAGGAAACCCAAGACAGGTGCATACTGAGGAGGCAAAATAAATTTTCACTGTGTTCAAGTGTACTTGTATTTAAATTTATTTTTATAGAAACTATAATAAAAAATATTATCATCACAAAACAAAGCTTCACAGAGTCAAGAGTCGTTTTGTTCATGAAGTAGAGCTCCGAGATGAGAGGATTAATCTACTTGAAAATGAAATTGGAATACTGCGGCAAAAATTAGAAAAGGTGAGGAAACAAGGTGAAGAGTTCACCCATGATGTGGCTGTCAGTCATTTAGAGAAAGCCCACTCATTTTTAAAATTTATTTGTGGCCTCTTCATAGCTCATGTTTTCACGCCTTTTTCTTTGCACCCTCTTTCAATGTGTGTAACTGTTCAAGCCCTACCAAAAGGGATTTAAGACTCATGGTGATGCTAAACCAAACTGGACACTGAAAATAGTCTGCTCTGCCAGCTTATAATTGTGTCTTGCCTTCAAGTGGAAATATACTTTCTTTAACATCTTTCAGCAAAGAATTCCGAAACTCCTTCAGTAACTCGTTCCTCCTTTCTCTAAGCCCTCATTTGCCTCAAACTTCTGCCAGTTTTAAATGGCAGTGAAAACAGCTCATCCCTACTCCTTTATCAATCCTTACCTAGTGCCTTCAAGCTTATTTCTAAGTATCCATGGTTTCCTTATGTTTGCCTTATTGTCACTGTGACTTGCTGGTGTGTACGTAGGGAGGAAATGGGACAGGTGGGTGGAATCCAAGGCACAATGGTCTTGAGGTCATTAAATTACATAAATTCAAAGTGGAGAGCAACGGACTCTGCCTGTTTTCCCTTCATTTTCCTCATCCGTGAAATGGGGGAAACAAATCCTTACCCCACCAGGATTAAAATATGAAATGCATAAAGTGGTACCTGGCACATTTAAATTTTGTAGCCTTTGTTTTGGTATAAAATCTCTTAGAAGCATGTTATTCAGTCAATGCACAGTTCCCAAGAGAAATTGTTACTAGGATTGGAAATAGTCTAGAGAAGACCCACAGTGGTACAAACCTGGTGGTCCAGATTTTACTTATTTTAGGGCCCATGGACCAGAGCCCTGAGCATAAAAAAGCTGGGCTCACTTTCTATGTACCAAGTCTCCAGAAAATAACGCCACTGTTTTTTTTGGCTTCATTCTTCAGCCTTCTCTGTATACAGTGAGCCAGTTGAGTCCTCTGACTCTTGTGACCATCTGAACCAGATTTCCCCAAATATTTTATCCTATTATTGGAGCAAGTGTCCTGATTTTTTGGTCCAAAGAAATATGGTATTTCCAAAGGACAGGGTGTCAGTAGCCTGCCCCATTCGATTTCCTTACTAATCCAGTTATAACTGCAGAGAGTATTACTTGTGGGATGGCTCCTTCTACTCTCAATCCTAACCATAAATGTATTTAAATAATATCAGGGGAGACTATTGTTGGACATTGAAAGGTCCTGGATGAAAGACTTTAAAATCTAGAATGGTTTGTTTCAGAACATAATGTAATCTCCTTCCTTATAACTCTTTGATGAACAGTCTTTTCTTTCTTTTTTTGAGGTATAATTAACATATAACATTATGTTAGTTTCAGGTGTACAACATAAGGATTCAATATTTGTGTGTATTACAAAATGGTCCCCACAGTAAGTCTAGTTAACATCTATCACCATACATCATTATAAATTTTTCTTGTGATAAGAACTTTTTAAAATTTACTATTAGCAGCTTTTTTTCTTTTTTTAATATAGCTTTATTGATTTCAGAGAGAGGAAAGGAGAGAGAGAGAGATAGAAACACCAATGATGAGGGAGTCATTGATCGAGCCCGCAACCCGGGCATGTGCCCTGACCGGGAATCGAACCCCGATCGCCTGGATCCTAAGTCAACGCTCAACTGCTGAGCCACGCCCGCCTGGGCGATTAGCAGCTTTCAAATATAAAATATAATATTATTAACTATTTCAGCACACCATACATTACATCCCTATGACTTATTTACTTTATAACTGGAACTTCACCCCTTTTGACTCCCTTCGCCCATTGTGCCCATCCCTCACCCCTTGTCTCTGGCAACCACCAATTTGTTCTCTGAATCTATGAGTCTGTTTGGCTTTGTTTTTTAATTTAAGATTCCACATATATGACAGGACAGTCTTTTCTGAATGCTCTATATTAGTATATCATTTAAAAGAAAGAAAGAAAATCGCCCCTCTTAACCCTGTGATCACCCCTCAGCCAGAGGTCCTCCTCCTGCCCCACTCCCTCCCACATCGGCAGGTGAGGGACACGCGTGGAAGGTGAACGCGCTCGCCTGCTACTATTGGCAGGTCCCTGGTGAAGTGAGAAGGGACTTCTACACTTTTGAGCTTTAAACTCCTCACCAACAGTGATATTTACTAATATCTACTGACTCACTATAAGAATGTTAGTGGTCTCCCCCCCCAAATGTACCTCTCTATCATGTTAGCCATAACCTCACTAGCTATTACTTTCAGGGGAAATCGCTGGTAGAAAATGAAGCGTGGTGGCCAGCTGGAAATCATTTCAGCATCGTCACTGCAGGAATCCTATCAGGGCCTGGCTGACAAGCTTGACTTGCTGAGCCAACTGAGGTCCTGACACTGGCTGCCAAGTCAGGCAGCTGAATCCCCATCTTCCGCTCTTTGCCTTAAAAAGACTACAGCTACAAAGCATATGGAAATGTGTTACATGGACATTTTTTTTTCAATCTGGAGCTTCAGAGAAGTCAGTTGTATTTGTCTGTGATTTGACATTAATAGTGTTAGAATATAGATGAGATCATTGGGACCTTATTAGAAGTTGAGTGCTTAGATATTTTTAAATGTTAACCCCAAAGAATGAGCAAATACCCAAACAAAATACATGACATAAGTACCCAAAATACATGGAAGAACTCTCTAGCTGACAGTGTCAGCAAGCAGATGAAAACAGCCTAGACAACAGGAGGGGAAAAGTAGACAAGGGAAGTTTGCTGTCGGAGTTATAAACAGGCTGATGTTCTTGAATTTGTCATTTCTCCTGCTGAGGTAATCAGGGAACTTTTGCTTTTATCCCTAGGAGAAGGCATTCCAGGACCAGATCACTGCCCAAAATGATAACCTGCTCCTAGAAAATAGAAAGCTTCTGGAGCAGCTTGTGGAGCAAGAAAAATTGATCCATGACAACAAATGCACAATATCTTCTGTCCAGCACAGGTAGGTGTGGTCCTGCCAGAGTTGCCACTGACTCCAGGTGAGATGTTTTTCCCTCAACACGGAGATGGTTCTAGAGAACTGTCCTTCCAGCTTGCGGCCTATCTCATAATTGTTGCTCTGCCATCTGCTGCTTTCAGCAGTTCATATAAGTGGCAGAAGTTGTGAAAGTAAAGAGAAAAATATCACGGAGAAGGCGGGCCGGCCAGTCAGGTAGGCTCTTTCATGGTGGCTTTGCCTCCTTGAGGACCCAGCTGTGCTCATTCTGGCCTATCATTTTGTGTGTGTTGACACTCATTTTATCATTCGATACCTATGGAATCAAGGTAGACCAAGAGAGAATCAAGCTCATACTAGTAACTTAAATTCACGAGACCCACAGGATATCAATGTATTTGTAAGAAGAATATTCCCAGCAGATAAGAATTCACGTATCAGCCAGCCCAAGCATTCTCTCCTCTATAGAAAACTAATTACAATCAAAAGTTTTCTCAGAGCACAGAATTAGAGCAAAGAGAGTGGGTTGATTTTAACAGACGATATCACCGATAATACCAGTAATTAACACATTTTTTGAGCACTTACTATATGCTAGGCACTGTTCTAAGCTGTCTCTAAATACATTTATTTTAATCTTCACACCAATCCCAGGAGGGAGACACTATTATTGCATTATTTGATGGGTGAGAAGCTGAGGTCCAGATTGGTTGGGGAACTCACCCAGCCTAGTCGGTGGCAGGGCAGCATGTGAACCTCAGCAGCCTGATCCCAGACCCCATGGCACTGCAGCTGAGGAGAGACCTGCCAAGCAGACTAGAACTTTCCCTTCTGCTGATTTGGGTACATGCTCCTCCAGGCAGGCCTGGAGAATCTCTGATTATCTTTGAGTATCTGTGCCTCCCCTTTTATATTAAGTTCTATATAATTTATTGCCCTTCTCAAACTATGTCATTGCTTCTGACAATCTGAACACAATTGACTCATTAATAATGTTCCTGTCTTGCCCTCCTGAAGAAACACTCTGGTCACCTGGATTTCACTTATGTTTTCCTTAGAGTGAGTTTCTTCTACAGGATGTTTCCTCATTTTTGCAGATGAGGAAACTGAGGCTCAGATTTAGTAATTTGCCAAGGTCACATGGCTAGGAGGTGGCAGAGCTCAAACACAAACCTCCAATCAAAACTATTGTAGTGTCATGTGTCCCATATAAACCGCAGCCCTGGAGAGTGGGGCTAGGTAGTGGTTAGGAGCTCAGGCTTTAGAAATCTGAAAGTTCTGAGTTGGAATCCCAGCTCTGCAACTTTCTGGTTTTATCTTCTTACACAAGTTACTGTCCCCTCTCTCAGCTTCAGTTTCCTCACCTGTAGAATAGGCTTCATAACAATATCTATTTTATGGGGTTGTTGTGAGGATTAAATGAGCTAAGATATGAGAAGTTTGAAGTGCTTTCTGTGTGGCTAGATTACAGCACCTAAGCACATGGTAAGTACTCAGTAAATGGCTGCTGCTGCTGCTACTAATGTATTGGATGACTGTACGAGATCAAACCAGATGCAGGCTGTGTAGCTACTGTGTTTGAAGGGATGCAGAGTCTCTTTTTTCAGTTATACTCCTAAATGGGATCATATCTTTCCTGAAGTGGCTCAAGGGCTAGAACTATCTATGCCTTTCATTCTCTTGCACACAGTATGTCTCTGCTCTCAGTAGGTATTAAATGGCTGTGTACAGGCCAGAAGCTTATTAGTTTTCACTTGGTCTGCCAAAGTTGGTTCTAAAATCTGGACAGTGGTCTAAGACCCAGAGCTAGTGGGAACTGCGACATAGTTTTAAGTCTTTATTAATTATATAGAAATTTTTAGTTATGCCTCCGATTTATCCCATTCTTATAGAGTACTTTTCCTGGATAGAGAAAATAAGCAGTTACAGGAAAACAGTCTCCAGCTCACAGAGCAAGTTGGCCTCTTAGAGCGCATTATAAGAAGCATCCAGATTTGCAGAGGAGAGGTAAGATATGTGCTTCCTGGTAGGTGTTTAATATGAAGTTTAGGTGGTTAAGTTTGCTCTGTTCTCTCTTCTCTCTCGTCACCTTCTTCATATAGCTGTGGATGTGGCAAAGAGGCTCATTGGCTGCACACCAAGGCAGCAGACCCTGAGTCTACTCTTGGCCACCTTTGCTCTTCACTAAGTCAGCTTTTATTAAACATTCTCCTTCTGTGTGGTCCCAAAGCAATTTGTGTATGCCTCATAACTTCTTCCTTAACACATTATATTGTCATTGCCCTTTTACTTCTCTATCTCATCAACTCAGCAGTGAGATCCTGGATTAAGGATTGTATCTCATATGTCACTGTACCTATGTGCAGGTGCTCGGTAAATATTTGAGAATGAATGAATGTTGTTTTCTTTTAATCCTCACTGAGGATATTCTTTCCATTGCTTTTCTGAAGGGAGAGAGACAGAGAGAAACATTGATGAGAGAGACACACATTGATTGGTTGCCTTGTGCATGCACCCAACAGGGGCTGGGAGTCAAGCCTGCAACTGAGGCACATGCCTTTGGCTGGAATTGAACCCGGGACCCTTTAGTTTGTGGGCCGATGCTCTAACCACTGAGTCAAACTGGCGAGGGTAAGAGAGAATGAAAGAAAGAATGAATGAATGTTAAATGTTTTCACATGTATGCCTCATTCTCAGCATTCCTCTTTACCATGTATTATTCCAGCCCAGTCTAAGAGATGAGCAGATCTGAGGTTCAGAGAGGTAAAGTGAAGCTAGTCTGGTCTGGCAAGAAGTCAAGCCTAAGGAGAACAGCTGAGTCAGAAAAAAGCAATTATGTTACAAAATCCAAGCAGACAAGTAGTATAGGTTCAGACAAGGTCCAATGTCTGATTGGTGAGCGAGTCAGCAAGAGGAAATTCAGTGAGATGAGTTGCATTTTAAATCCAGGATAGAGGCTGCTTGCTTTCTTCCCTGGTTTGTATTACAGGCTATATGTTTCTTACCAGGATACTTACTTTTTTTTTTTTTTCTAGTCATGAAAACTTTGAGATCTACTCTTTTAACAACTTTTAAATATACAAATAGACAGTATTGTTAACTACAGTCATCATGTTGTACATTATATCCCCAGAATTTATTTATCTTATAACTGGAAGTATGTACCTTTTGACCACCTTCACCTAATTCCCCCACCCCTTATCTCTAGCAACCATAGATCTCTTATATCTATGAGTTTGGTTTCAATTCCACATATAAGTGAGATCATATGGTATTTGTCTTTCTCTGTCTGTCTTATTCCGCTTAGCGTAATGTCCTTAAGGTCTATCCATGTTGTCACAGTAGAAGGATTTCCTTCTTTTTTTCTGTCTTACTATTCCATATTGTGTGTGTTTCTGTGTATGTTCAACAATTTCTTTATCCATTCATCCATAATGGATGCTTGGGTTGCTCCCATGTCTTGGCTGTTGTAAATAATGCTGCAGTGAACATGGGGTGCAGATATGTCTTCAGGATAGTGATTTTGTTTCCTTTGGATAAATACCCAGAAGTGGAATTGCTGGATCATATAGTTCTATTTTTAATTTCTTGAGGAACATCCATACTGTTTTCCATTGTAACTGCAGCAATTTATATTCCTACCAACAGTGCACAAGGGTTGCCTTTACTCCACATCTTCATCAGCATTTATTACCTCTTGTCTTTTTTATGATAATCCTTCTAACAGGTGTGAGATGAAGGGATTACATTTTTAACTAAAAAAACATATATATATATGGCATAGTTCTAGGATCATAGTGCCAATGGTTTATCATTAAAATTTTTTAAATAATGCTTTGTTTCCTTTTAGGAAACAATACTTGGTGGCATCTCTGAATATGAAATATTGAATAAAATCTTGCCCCTACCAGACTCCAGGTTAGTAAAGTCAAGACAATCATCCGTATGACTGAGAATCATGGCTGCCTAACCAGTCATGAGTTGCTGGCTTGAAAAAGCATAGCATTTAGGGGTAATTTTCTCTATATATAGTATTTACACCTTCCAGTTCCTTCTCCCCTCACCACTGCTTCACCCCCACACCTGACAGAATCCTGACCTACAGTAGAAGATAATCCATAAACATAAATTTAAGGTAACTTTATTTGGCTGTCTTTGTGTTTGACAGTTGTCAAAACTGAAATCCTATTGAAGCCTTATCTCTGTAACCCCAAAATGCTGCCAAGAGACCCCATCCACTTGAAGTCCTCACACGTGGCCTTTCTTAGTGTTTCCGGAACAAGTTTGGTAGAGTCATTTGGATGTCTTTAAGAGCCTAAAGAACATAAGTCAGAAGAAGCAGTGGCAAACCCCAAGTCCCTCGGGTCTCTTTCCTGTTCACAGAATTCTGAAGCTGGATACATGTATAAAATGTGGCTTCTCTGAAAAAGACACATCACACCTAAGAACGAGTCCAAAAGTCAGAACTATAAAATCACTGGTGTCTAAAACTAGACTCATCAAAGCTTCTAACTTAAAGCTTGGGCATGAAGGTGAAACATAACATGGAGACGTTATGATAGATCACATGCTGGACATCAACCAGGAGTCTTCAAAATTGTATTCATTAAACCAGTTCTAAAAATGGGTTTTTCAAGTTTGTTTGATATCCTCAAATGCCTTGTGTTGATCAATATATAGAGTGACAGGTTGGGTGGTTTAATTAGGTTTTTGTTCAGCAGAACACATACATGGCTAATTCAGTATTCTTTTCTATTTTCATATTTTTTTAAAAGTAAAAACAAAGTAATCACATTAAAGCAAGTATTTTTAAAAAGAAGAAAAAAACCCTTTATAATCCCACATTTTTAACACTATTATTTTCATTTTGGAGTTACTACCTTCTGGTTCTTATTCAAATTCATATATTTTAAATGGTTATTATATTGCATTTTCATAGTCTGGTTTTTAATTTTATATACCATAAAACATTCTCCCATATTTAAACACTTCATAATTATTCTTTTAATAGACATGCGATATTCTATCATGTTGATGTTCTATAAATTTTCTTATTTAACATACAAGTTGTTTCTACTTTTTCGCTATTTAAAGATTATGCTGCAGTGAAAGTCTTTGTAAAGTTAGCTCTTAAGTTAAAACAGAAAACAAATTCACAAGATTGCCATAACAGGGTCAAAGGATATAAATGTTATATAGTTTTGGTACTTGTCTCATTGCTTTAAAATTAGGTTGTGTCAATATACTGTTTCTACAGTAAACCTCTTTAAGCCTCAATTTTTTTAAATATGTTTTTATTTATTTTAGAGAGAGAGGAAGGGAGAGGGACAGAGAGAGAGAAACATCAATGAGAGACAATTGGCTCCCTCCTGCATGCCCCCCCACGGGGGATCGAGCCTGCAACCTGGGCATGTGCCCTGCCCGGGGAACTGAACTGGGGACCTCTTGGTTCTTAGGTCGACACACAACCACTGAGCTGGGCCAGCCGGGTGAGCCTCAATTTCTTGATGCATAAAATGGAACAATAGTAGTTCCTATCCCATAGGGTTGTAAGAACTAAATGAAATGAAGTATTTTGCACTGAATAACTGCTTAATAAATGCTAGAGATCTTCATTAATTTTCACTTGCAGTTTGAGTGTACTAGTTTTTCTATAGTCTCATCAACATTGGATATTATCAATTAAAAAATTTATTGTAAAATAGTTGGTATAAAACTATACTGAAGGGTGACTTCTGCCACTCCCTCTTTCCTTCCTCCCCTTCCCCCCCCCTCCTTCATCTTCCTTTGGAGGCAGAGACCCAAGGGGAGAGGGGGAAAAACAAAAGAGATCCCACAAGTTGAAACACACTGAATTTTTATGTGCAACCCCTGCCTCCTCAGACCACCAATGAAAAAATATGATCAAAGGATACAGGAAATAATAGCTATGATACTGAATGCGTGCTGACTCCAAACCTTGCCCACACTCACTTTCTTTCATTCAATTCACTGAATCCCTGCTATGTGCTATTTGATCGTAGTCACTGTAGCCACACCTGTGAAGACAGACAAAGAGAGTCTCTGCTTTCATAGTTAATATACTATTCGGTTGGAAGGTATATGTTTGTGTGGCAGGTGGAGAGACTGACCATATAACTTTGGATGGCATGTGGCATGAAGAAAATCACTGATGTATCTGAATGGTACCAAACCCTGTATATACTGTTTTCCTAGACATACATACCTATGATAAGTAATTGATAAGTAAGGCACAGTAAGAGATTAACAGTAATAATAAAATAGGACAATTATAACAATATACTGTAAAAGTTATGTGAATTTGGTCTCAAAATATTATCTTGTACAGTACTTACCCTTCTTATGAATGATGCGAGATGACACAGTGCCTACGTGAAGAGATGAAGTAGGGTCAACTACATAGGTGTTGTGATATAGCTTGAACACAAGCACTGTAATACCCTGACAGTTGATCTAATAACCAAGACACCTACTAAGTGACTACTGAGCAGGTGGGTAGCATACACGTAAATATGATGGACAACGGGATGAGTCACATCCGAGCATGCAATTTAAAACTTATGAATTGCTTATTTCTGGAATTTTTCATTTACTATTTTTAATTTAGTATAAATTAATATTCATGCTGTACATGCTACCTGCCCATTAGTCACTTAATAGGCATCTTGGTTATCGATCAACTGTCAGACTGAGGTTGACAGGATAACTGAAAGGAGGAAGGTAAAAACTCAGATAAGCGGGGAAACTACTATATCCACCCATGACCTTGAGGAACAAAAAGGCTGGAGTATAGTAACTGAGGGCAAGTACTAACTACAAGATGAGGCCAAGTAGGTGGCAGCCAGATAATGTAATGTCGGCCTTTGTATGTAAGGAATTGGATTTTATTCTAAATACAGGAACCCAGGAGTGATTTACAAGCAGGCTTATTATTTTTTAAAAAATATGTCTTTATTGATTTCAGAGAGAGAGGAAGGGAAAGAGATAGAAACATCAATGATAAGAGAGTCATTGATCAGCTGCAGCCGCAACCCCATGTGCCCCGACCCGAATCCAACGGGGATCTCCTGAATCCTAGGGCCATGCTCAGCCGCTGAGCCACGTCCGGCCAGGCAAGCAGACTTATTTTTAAAACTAGCTACTCTGCTGGGAATGAATTGGAAGTGACAAAAATGGGAGCTTGTGGCAAAACTGGGACAAAAATTCTAGTTCACTGACTTCAAGGCAGGGCTGCGCGTGTGCGGAGCACACCTTGGCCGCCGGCCGCCCCGCGCCGGGGACGAAGAGTCGCGGCCCCCGGGCGCACAGGGCAGTGGGCGGGCACGACGGGCGCGAGCGATGGCTCCTCTCAGCAGCAAGGGCTGAGGGGGCGCTGGCGACCGCCTCCTCCAAACTCCCCAACGGGAGCGAGGACAATCTGTACTCGGTGTGGCCCTGGGACAGCGATGCCTGTTGACTTTGGGCAAAACGCGGCCCAGGCGTTCCTCCCGTTCCCTACCTCCTCCACCCGCACCCGCTTCCCCCCTCGCCCCGCCCCGTTCTACACCCCGGCCTCCCGGAGAGTCAAGCGAACCAAGAGCTAGCGGACGTCTCACGGTGA